AAGCAAACTCAACAGTAGAATAAATACTTAGAAGACTCATGACTTGTGTTCATAAGGTTTGTCATAATTTAAATATAAAGGGTTAGATTTTTCAAAACTACACAAACTACACAAAAATCGAAATCATACATAACCCTAATCCCCAATATATTCATACACATCCTCTAACTTCAATTCATCATCCAATCAATCAATTAGATTATTCACACTCAAATAACAATAATATACCCTCAAACCATGCAACTCATTCAATCCATCACATATCTCGAGTTCATACACAATATACCTTAATCTACAAATACATCAATTTATACCAACAATTGAATCCAATGTTAATTAGCACTCAAATTCATATAATATAAATGAATAAAGCATCAATTCATTAATAAGTAGTCACATAGATCAAATTCAACAACCTAGGGGGCTTAGGGATCACCCCCTCTACCCCTATCCCTCATGTATGCCCAATAAATTCGACAATCTCACTTTCCCAAACCTGGAGTGATGACCCTGCAAAACAACACACTTCATGTAGCTCTAGTAGCTAATTAGTGCCTTCCTTGATGCTTTTCTTTAGGTTTCCTCCTACGAGTATTATAGGTTTTAAAAGACACATATAATGCCTAATCCCTTCCTTTTTCTTCTTTTTAATTAGTCACCGAGTTGGGCCTTATGTCTACAAAATCTTTTAATTTATCTCTCCTTTTTTATCTTTAGTCCAAAAGTATTTTCCTTATAATATTCTAATTATTCTAATTTATTTATTATTTATTTTTAAAAAATGGAATGTTACAAAAGGGGAACTAAAGGAGAAGTGGTAAGTAGAATGTTTTCATCATAGTGGTCACTAGAACAAGTTGGTAGCATGCACAAAGGAGTCACCAAAAATTGTTTTTAATGTTGTCTGTGAAGTAGAAGATGAAACAATGGAGTATGAATTAGGTTCGTTGATTGAATCTTTAGGAGGAACTAGATTATTGTAACTTCTCCTTCAAGTTTCTTCCTATATCTTTTCCTTCTTGACACTCCTCAAGATTCTCCAAGGTCTCTAATGGAGGTGGAAACCTCTAAAATCATCTTTAACAATGAAAGACTCTCTTCAATTGGTGTCATTTTAAGGAAGAAGATAAACCACTTCAAATATCACCACACTCTTAAGAAGAGGATAAGATAATTGGTAATAAATCAAAGAGAGATTTAAGCTTTTGAGAAAGAGAATTCTAAGAGATAATTTTGGCCAACTTAATGAAATGATCAAAAATTATGTACAAATGGCTCCAAACACCTATGTATATAGCTTAGCTAGCTTGGAGAGGAAGCTAGACATCTAGGAGACAAGGAGAACTTAGATCTAATTCCACCAATCACAAAAAAACTCTAGGAGACATGTTTGAGACATGTAGGAGATCTAGATCTAGAATAACCAATGAGCAAGTGTCAAGTGTCCTCTTATCTCTAGGTGGTTGTAGAAGTAGTTTCAAGGTGAGGAGTAGCCAAAAGGGGTAGCCAAGATGGTCCTCCATCATTTCTTCTGAATTCTCTCTCTCAAAAGTCCTAAATAATTCTCTTTGATTTGGTTCCAATTCTCTTATCCTCTTCCTAAGAGTGTGGTGAGGATTGAAGTGGTTTATCTTCTACCTAGAAATAGCACCACTTGAAGAAAGTTCTTCATCTTCCAAGGTGAAACCAGAGGTCCCTACCTCCATTAGAGACCTTGAAAAAGCTTGAGGAGTGTCAAGAAGGCAAAGGTCTAAGGAGGAATTTGAAGGAGAAGCCAAAGTCATTTGGTTTGCTCCTAAGGTTTCCATCAACTAGCAACTGACTAGATCCTAGTAGATTTTCGTGTTGTTGGCAAGAATCGATCTTTCCACATGCTACTTTGTTTATGACAATAATTGATGTAGAAATGAGTTTTTTTTAATTTTTTTATTGATATGATGTAGAATGTTCCATACATTTTACATCGTCATAATCTACATTGATTTTGAAACTAATGTAGAAATTAAAATCTAAAAGAATCAATGTAAAATGTGCCCCCTATAATCAGGGTAGCACATGAGTTATGATAATTCCAATGATCAGGGTAGCACGTTTGAGTTATGATAGTCATGTAACTTATTTGTCAAACTTGACACATGCCTAACATCATTGAAATTGGTGTAGTGTATATCCTCGAGAGGAGCCTTGATTTCACTTTTTCGGGAAAGGTATGCCCTTGATTATGATGGTAACGCTGTGAGGGAATATAATCTCTTAACACTTTACAAAGTTGGTGATGTCTTGGTGATGAACATTAAGTAGGTAACGTTGCGAGATTGGAGCAAGCTAAGGTGTAAATAAAATTCCTCTACAAGGGTACGCTTGCAACATTTAAAATCAAGTAATAATGATTCATTTAATATTTTCAGCAACATTGTGTTCCTGCTTGTTAAAAGCTTGCATTCCCATATCAGATTTACTTCTCAGAATTAAAACTGTCTCATTTGAATATCACTTTGTCAAGAACACTCGTTTCAATATTACTATGTCAAGAAGATGACCATCATTAGTCTCATCGACAAATGAATTCTGGAAAAAAAATTATTTTCTTTTTCCTAGAAAAAACTATCCTTATACCAACTTTATCAAGTTTATATTTATTAGTTAAATATAAGTATCGCATAGGAAGAGAATAATCTTCAAAGTTAGAAGAAGATAAACTTGTTACACAAACAATACTAGAGCCACATAACAATAACACGTTCACACGATGTAATCTAGGTTTCAAGATCCCATAACTTTATTGTAAAGTTTCCTAAAAAGTATTATTGTAAAATCAAATAAATAGCATAAGATAATAATTAAAAATATATGATGAAGTGAACTTACAATTGAAAATGTCCTCACATTTTTTTATTTGATGAAGATGATTTAAGAAGTATTCCAAAACTTGCAGAACATAATTTTTGCAGATCAACTATTATATTAATAATGTGAGCCAATTCTATAAGCATCAAGTCGACTTACAAAAACTGAATCAAAGCTCGGATGAAATGTCTTGGCATTATCCACCACGATGTTGTAAATTTTTTGCAGCATTTTCTTCAAGCAGGAGTTATCTTTGACGGGACTTCATAATGGAAAGAAAACTTAACCTTGCCAATCGATCAGGCTGGACCTTACAGAGATTTTCAGAATCAAAATTAGTTTTTTAATAAAGAAAAAGTGAGTTTGTTTATAAAAACTAATTGAAGTTTCATCTTTTAAAAAGAAGAAAAGTTATAAAAAAAAAAAAATTACACCAATTCTTACTAATCTTAAGCCTGACATAGACAGCTAATAATATACTTGGCATCGCAACAACAAAATTATAAAACTATAACTATCTACTGAACAACAACGAAATTATAAGTAAAAAGGAATAAAATGTCGACATAATAGAAAGGTATAAATATATGCTGTTGATAAATGGGTGAAAATGGAGTAAAAAGTATAAGTTTAAGAGTGGTAATCTAAAAGTGTTGCACACGAGATAACATAATAATGGAGTGTGTATCCTATACAGTATTGGAATTTTTATGTAAATGATACATTCCAAAATGAAACATGTTATACATAACACCAATCAGAAATTTGAAAAAAAAGAAGAGTCTGTGAGAGAGGTTTTCTTTTATGATATAGAGAAAACAAAGATAATTAAAGAAAAAAATGAGATAATGAAAGGATATTACTTAGTGGAGAGAAGTGCAATTCAAAGGCGCTATGGTTACTAACGATATTGGTCTCCATAGCCTAGAATTACGTCACATACCTAAGCAACCTGCATGACCAAAAAATCAAAGGAAATAGAGTTTCACAAAAAGAAAAAGAAAAGAATGTCAGTGAGAATAAATTGGTATCTGCTTATGATTTGAGTATTAAAAATGAACTTGAAGGCTTGCATGTGTGCAGTTACATTTGAAGTTGATAAAAAGATAAAATAGGGAAAATATTATGTAACCAATTCCTATTTTCTTTATTTTTTTTAGATCATTTTTATGTGAAACGAACTTACGAGATAGAAGGATGTAAAAAGAAGGCCGAGAGAAAAGAGAATTAATTAATTAATTAATTAATTAATATATTTATATTTATACTTCATGGTTATTTATTAACAAAAAATATAACCAAAGTGAGAGCTTTTTGGTATACACATTTTGTTTATTGATTTGTCTCTTGATTTTTAAAATACTCTTTCTATCTTATACTTTTTTATTTAGATTTTATTCTTTTTTCCTACTTTTCTGTAAATTTATTTTTTAAACTTTTCATATTTTCTCTACATATTTAATTTTAATTATTTTTTTATTTTTTTAAAAAATACATGGAAATACAAGGTTATTTTTACGCTAGTTATCATTCTACACCGCGTGTTTTGTAAAATTAACTAGGAAGTTAGTTAGAAACTTATAAATTAATAAATTAAATTAAAATTATTTAATAAAATTAGATTATATATTATTTGATAAAAGTAAAATGTGTATTTGACAATAAATTTTGAAGAACTTATGTTTTTTTAACTAAAATAAACTTGTTTGGTATGTGAGCTTATTTTAAAAATTTATAATTTATTTTCATAAACTAATTAAAGTAGCTTATAGTTTATTTTCATAAATTAATTAAAGTAGATTATAATTTAGTTCTTAGTTTGTTTTGTTAAATTGTAATTTTGGTTTTTCATTAATTTTTATTTTTCTATTTTAAAATAAAAATATTTAATCTCTTTAATTTTGAAAATATAAAATTTTGGTTTTTTCATCAAAATGATATTTATTGATTATTAAATTTTAATATTTACTAGTGATATTTAGTATTTAAAAATAAAAAAATAATAATAATAAAAAAATCATACTATTTAAATTCATTAACAAAATAAATGACAATCACGTTGAACTAAATATGAAGCTTGAGATATAAACTTTTCCTTTATTAGTTTAAATGAAATTATTTGTTTTCTTCAAATTGTAATAGTTTTTTTTTCCTCACCAACCAAAAACCAGGAAGAGATGAAGAAAGCAGAGAAATAGAAGACCAACAACATCGGAGAAAACACAAATACTTATTAGTTGTTACCTTGGCAGTGGCACCAGCGATAGAAGAGAAGCAAAGAATGGCCACTTTTCTCTCTAATCAATCTCTGTTGGGTTCTTGTCCTTGTTCTACACCCTTCTCTTCAAAACCCTTTCAAACCCTAAAATCCCCAATCCTATCTTTTCCATCTCGCCCTTTTCCTCCCGCCCTAATTTCCTCTCTCAATCGAACACCCCACTTCAAGTCTTCCCCAAATCCCCCTCCAACTGTACTCTCTCACTCCATTTCTCTTCAAAATCTTCCATTTTTCGTATCTAATTTCCTTACTGCATCTTCTATTTGTCACAAGTTTCTAAACATGTCATAATTGAGATTGAATCCTTAACATTTCATTTTTGCCATTTTGCCCTTTTTGTACCTTAATGATACTGATTATTGATATCATAATACTGCAAATTCGTTTTTTTTTTTTTACCAATTTTATTTTATTGGCCAAATAATAACTAATTCTCAATTCTCATGATGTTTGTGTATCTTAAGTTAAGTAGGTTATTTTGTTTCACTAGATGTTCCTGCATTATGTTCCTAGCTAAATACTCTCTCTTGTTTTCCACAGACAAATGATGAAACAGAGGAGACTCAGAATGATGTAAGAGAGGCAGGTGGTGATGAAGATGAAAAACCATTACCCAGTTTAATGGTCCTCGTAGAAGAATACAAGGAAGCTCTTTTTAATGGCGACGAAAATTCTGTAGCTCATATTGAAGAGGGAATATACTCAATTGCAAATAGAAAAAATGAATTGGTTCAGAGAGCTTCAACTTTATTAGCAGAGAAAGCTGCTTCCAAGGAGAGATATCTTCGTTTACAAGCTGATTTTGATAATTTTAGGAAAAGGACAGATAAAGAGAGACTTAACATCCAATCTGAGGCCCAACAAAAAGTCGTTGAAAAGCTCTTGTTGATGGTGGACAGTTTTGAGAGAACCAAACAGCAAACTAAAGCGGCAACAGAGAAAGAGAAGAAGATTGATGTTAGCTATCAAGGTATTTACAAGCAATTTGTAGAGGTTCTGAGGAGTCATCACGTTTCAGTGGTAGCAACAGTGGGCAAGCCGTTTAATCCTTTGGTAAGTTAAATTTGCAAACACATATGTTGATCGTAAATGAGGAATATCTTCCTTTTGTTTTGAACTGGGATTGGTATTCAAACAGAGGGAGGATTGTGTTCAATATCAGCCAATCATTACCTACCACTAAAAGTCTGGACAATCATTTTACATCTAGGATGATGATACAAGAATATAATCTCTTATTGGCTTTTTTCATGAAAATTGTGTTCCTTGATCTGTGTTTTTTTAGGTAGTTAGAGATCAAATTATTATGTAGAGTACCTTGTATAATGAGTGACAACGATAGAGAGTAGTGCTTTGCTTGTTAGGTTCGTTTTTCAGTTTTAGCTTTGGTATCAAATTATTAGTTTTTTAGGTTAGCTCAAGTATTGCAATCTTGAAATTTATTATCAGTTACTTCCTGTTTTTTTTCGATTTATGGTTATAAGGTGCACATAATGCATTTGATCTCACTACCAACATTTTCAGTAAATGAAAAACAAAAATCCTTTAAATGAGATGTGTGTTTGGAATTGTTCCTTATCTAAATCTAGAAGAGGAATATTTTTTTTTGCTTGAATTGATCTTGGACAAAGCAAATCAATCTTTTGTTTGAGAATCTTTTTACTGATAATATGACTGGGGTTATTTGTGTTAGGGTATTAACATATAGTTAGCAAAAATCATCCTTGAATAACAGGACTATATTCATTTTTGTCTAATCTAATGACTCGAGTTTAGGCTGAAACAAAATTTTCAAATTAGAATTTTTATTTATTTATTTAAATAACCCATTCTTTTATGGCTAATGTGATTCTTGTCTTAGCTGTCCTTTCACACTCTCAAAGACTACATTGCCCTTTTGATGGTACTCTTGTGGTAAAGTAACACAGGTTGAACTTTGTTAGGAGAACCAAGAGGTTCCAATATTAGAAGTATATACTAGAAGAAAGAGAGATTAGTTAGTTCCAGGAAGAATAGCTATGTCGTACAGTTTTAAAAGTGGGGCCTATTATAAGTGTTTTGGGGTAGAGGGACGGCCATGAGAAATGATTGTATGAAAACTGTATTACAGTTGATTGAAGGGAGCTTTTCCATTCGCAGAGCAATGAACTCTGATTCTATCTTTTCTTTGTTACTTCTTGCTTTTACTGTTACGGAGGACCTCTTTGGACATTGTTCATGCTTGTTTGAGGCATATTTGATGAAATATAAGAGAAAGTGATCCACATGGCTATTGTTTAAATCATTTTTGGTTTACTTTTGCTGTAGCAACATGAAGCCATTGCCCGTGAGGAGTCCACAGAGTTCAAGAAAGGGATTATAATTAAAGAATCCCGACGTGGCTTTATGCTCAGAGATAAAGTTCTAAGGCCAGCCCTTGTGAAGGTTTCCTTAGGTCCTGGAAATAAGGAATCTCCCGTGTCTCCTGACAAGTCCACGGGGCAACCTTCAACAGCTGCTGGAATAGATGAAAGATAGTCTCTTGAACTTTCCAACTTATTCATTAAAAGTCTAGTTCCATCTGCATACCTGATATATTGTCATTGGTCAACTTGAAATGCTTCTATTTTCAATCTATTGGTATTTTGGCCTCAGGTGAGGGTAGTCCTTTGTAGTACGGACGTCCCAAATTTTAACATGTTGGCACACTGCGCAGCAATTTTTGGTTCATGATGGCAAAGGGAATTAATTGTGATCTCTAGGGAATGATGAATTTCTTGTGTAATCCATTTTTTACCAAAGCCAAAAATGGTTCATTCTTGAACTTCTCTCGTGTTATTGACCCTCATTTCAATGCATAAAAAAGAGAAATTCCAGAGAAATCCATTGCTGTTTAAAATTTTGAATTCTATAAATAAGTGGAGCTTACATGGAGCCTGCTAACTGTTATGCTCTGTTTTTCTCTAGCAAAATCTTTTCATAAAACCATGTTGCAATGCTAAATAAATTTTCAGAGTTGGCGACAACTATTGTTTTAATTCGACTAAATTGCACTTTTGTTCCTTTATAATATCAAATTTGTAAATTTTTTTATGCTTTTATTTTTAAATCTAAAATTTTAGTCTCTTAATTTTATAAAATTTATAATTTTGGTTGTTTAATTGAATGTTTATTCGTTGATCATTTTGTCATAATTTTATATTAATTAAATAATATAATAATTAATATTTAATAATAATTAGGTTAAATTTTACTTTTAATCTCTATTTTTATATCATATAAGTGATGAAATGATATGAAAATTGTGGATTAAAAGTCTAAAAGTGAAATTTGGCTTAAATATTGTTAAATATTAATTATTATGTCATATGATGTTATATCACAATGAACATTACAATTTTAATGACCAATGGATTCAAAAGACCTTTAATCAATAAAATATGTATGTATTTTTATAATTTTTTTATTTTTTTTCTCTTATTCTAAAGATGTAAAACTTTGTTAATATCTCAACAATATTATCATGATAATTTTTTATTTGGTTTGGATTTTCTTATCATTAAGTTATACAATAAAATGATGACATTTTTTAATTAAAAGTAATCATGTTATAGAGTTTTAAATGAATATTCACGTCTCATTTTTTGAGAGGAGAGCTTGATATGAAGGGAATAAGAAAGTTTGGGCTTGCATGTTTTATTTTCTATTTTCACTTTTTAATTATAAAACTGATATCTTGTTTTTAATTTGTTCATGTTTTCAAAGATTTGTATGAACAACATTGAAATATTTTTTTTTTCTTGTTTCTTCTAAAAAAAAAATATTTGAAAACATGAGTCAAGATGAAAATAAGATCACAATTTTTTTATTAGTAGAAAAGATTACATGTCTCTCTCTCTCTTTTTTAATAAAAAAAAAGTACAACTCTTTCTTATTGAATAATAAAGTGATATTTCTAATTACAATTTGTGTATCCAAACCAGAATTTGTCTTTTATGATATTTTAATTGACTATAACTGAAAAATACTATGTATTTTCTATTTTGAAGGAAGGAGAGCTGGATAATTTATTAAAATAATCAAGTGGCCAGGGTCAATTCTATGTGAAGTTATAGTTTGCTCCAATGATATTTTCTATTTTGGGCAACATTGCAAATATCACGAGGAATATCCTCATAGTTTCCTTCCATGAGAAAAAGCCAAATTGGCTTGACTATCTTCTAATGACATTACCAAAACGTCTTGTAAAAGACAAATCAACTTCCAAAACACCATGAGCAAGAGCTACAATTCGTCCACTAAACATTGTATGTATCTGATGTCCAGATTAGATCTCGAATGCCACTATACCAGGTATTGTGAAGTTCATTACTAACCATTTTAAAAATAACTGTACAAACTAACAGCTCCTTATTTATTTTTTTGGTCCATTTTTTTAATTAATTTAAGGGGGTGTATTGGTATAAGATTTCGTAAAATTTTAAAAGATTTTTTTTTGAGTAAAAAAGTTTATTGCTATTCAATCAGGATTTTATGTCACTTAAAAACAATCCAGCGGTATTCAATCTGGATTTTCAAGATTTTTTAAAGAGTCCATTAAAATCTACTGGTATTCATTTAAGATTTTTTACAATTTAAAAACAATCCATTGGTATTCAAAAATATAAGGATTTTAAAGGATTGTTGTGTGAGAGGGATTTTGAAGGACTTTCTAGTGTTATCTATAAATACCATATTCATAAAACAATCTCATCCAAACCCATCGGATTTTGAAGGATTGTTTGAAGTGATTTTTCAAGTGTTTCAAGAATTTTCAAGTGAGTTTTTCATCTGTTTTTTTTTCTATGTTCATGTCTTCTCCATTTTTTTTCTACTAATAATACTACACTATTGTTCATTGCTCATATATAATATTGTAGTACTGTTCTCATTCCATTTCCCTATTTTGTGAAACTCTGATATTTAAATAATAGAGTCATTGACTTGCTCTATTTTTCTGTTCGTTCTCTTTAATTGACTTGCTCTATTTTTCTGTTCGTTCTCTTTAATTGACTTGCTTTATTTTATTCTATGTAGTTGAATTTGTTCTTTTATATAACACAAAAAAATGCTTGAAATTTTAACTTTTAAGTGGTAATTTTTTTTATAACACACGTCAAGAAAAGAAAAAGGTAAAAGATGAAATTGATATCATAATCTCTACATATATATAAGATGAATTTGTTAGGGTTTCTGTTAGTAGAATGAGATGAAAATGGATCTTAGTTGGGAGAAGAACCCTCTCAGCATAAAAACTGCGAACTCTCTCCTTCCCTTAAATTTGTTACTCTTATCCCTCCTCCTTGTATGACTCAACAATTATTTTATTTTTTTTACTATGAATTTTTCTTTTTATTTTTATATTGTGAAATTAAGATTTTTTTATATTTTAAAAAAAGAAAATTAACATAAGACATTGCAGTATCTAATTTTTTAGGGTCTGGGATTTATGCCTTCATTAGCTTATTTTTTTAAAAAAGAAATATTGTTAAAATATTTGTTAGAATAATTTACATTTATAAATATCGTTAAAAATTATCATATAATATATAACTAAAATAATATATATATATATATATATATATATATTCTCTATATTTAAATACTTCCGTTTATATAAAAAAATTATATATCTAAATATTTTCTCAAATATACTAATTTTTTTATATAAAAATTATCTTATGTTTCTATATTTTCATTTTTAAATGTTTTTTTTTATAATGACTGAGGTATTTGATCCATTTGGATAGCCAAGATATATTCGATCTTGTATGATTGGTGTGCTTCTAAAAATAATAATATAATTTTATTGATTTTGTCTCTTATCCATAATTATTTATATAACTAGTTTTCAACTATTGTTTTAGTAATTTAAATGAGAGATTCACAAGGAAATAATAAAGAAAAAAGAAAAGAGAAAGAAAACTATGAAACTTGGACCAAGGAGGATTCTGATGAATTGTTACAATTGATAGCGGATGCTATAAAAAGAGGATATGATATTATGGAGAATTATTATTATTATTTATCTAGACATTATTGTTATTTTTATTATTTTTGTCTTTGACTCTTTTTAAATTTGAATGTATGAATTTTTTTTTAAATCTTATCAAATGTCAACTCCACAAAATTTCACAGAATCCATTAAAATCCTGATTTAAAAGTCTTGTAGAATTCATTAAAATCCTGATTTTAAGTCTTGTAGAATCCTGCAAAATCTTAAAAGTCATGAAAATCCTGCAAAGTTTTTTAAAATCGGCAAGATTTTTTTTAACTAAAAAAGTCCTTTAAAATCCTAATCCAATACACCTCCCTAAATTTTGAATTGGGTCCACCTAATAATAAAAGATTGAAGTATTAAATTTGAACTGTAATAATATTATTATTATTATAATTTCAATAAATAAAAAAGTTATTTAATTATCGATGTGGAAAAAGAATTTGAATTTTTCTTGCAAAACCAAACATGTTAGAACTCAACTAAATATCTTGGTCAAGTGATTATTAAGTTTTTCTTAGAACACAGGAAGTTGACCTGATTTTTTATATTTGAGTTTTATCTGTATTAAAATAATGTTAAAATAATATTTAGCTAACAGAAATTATGTTTCATAAATGTAGATTAGGCATTGATTATTCTTTGAGATACTGCATGAATCGTATTTATAAAAAAATACCAGAACTCTAACATTTAACTAAAAGATAAATAGAATTTCATAAGGACAAATAAATGTGGCAGCTTAAATTTCTCAAAACAGCACGTGAAGTAGGACAGGCTTTGCTTGCAATTGCATGCAAAAAACAAACGGATGTCGCGATTCGTATTTGACATGACCAATCTATGGATGCTGACACTGTGAAGGAAATTGGATGAATTGAAAATGTGATCCATGATCGAGTATCATAGAAAGAGAATACAACTAATGCACAAATAGAAGAAAGAGAAGGCGAAAACGACAACGACGTCTTCAAATATTATAATACACACCATTTTACCTAATCCAACCTCAGGTAGTACTACTTTTGGCCAATGTCTGGTTAATTTCATCCAAGCATATACACATTCATGCCAATGTATACGTATTTTATGATAATAAGAAAATCCATAACCAATGTATACAATCCATACCATATGTATACATATTCCACATCCAAAACAAAGTCACACCACTATATAATCCATGATGTAACCAACACATCCAAACCAAATGTTGGCCTCAACACCATCCAAACCAAGTGTTGATACGGTGAAACATGTCATCAACCCATGTCTCACGCCTAACCTCTCATGGAAAATATACAGTTGGATTACGTCGTCACGTAACCCTGGTGGGGCCACCTCATCCATCGGTATGACTCGGCCTAGACCCATACCGGTAGCAAATAGAATACTTAGAGGAGTACTTCAGAATCCACCTAACATCTGAAGTGGTTTATTATATAACCTTTGGAAAAGTTCCACATTGGAATCCTCACCATGGGATTCCCAAATTCCATATTTTTCCAAAGATTATATCCTGATCTCACCAAGAGATCTAATCCATACCATAACCTTACTCCTCTAAGTTCTATTAGCTTTCCAAACCACACACATATAGCATATTCCATAATTACATACCAAAAATTTCCATAACCAAGCCAAATTATTCAATATAATAACATAAATAACTAAACACTTAAAACAACCATCAACTTAAACAAATGATAATCTTCATATAAACAAAATAGCATATTAAAAGTTATACTACCCTTATCATGCTCATACATACTAGATTAAGTCTTATA